GAAGGGAAAATAGACACATTGGRATTTCACAACAATAAATATTGTGACAGGACTAAGAGAGAATTAGCGTGGGAGCTGGGGATGTAGTTCAGTGGGAGAGAACTTGCCTGGCATGTGCATGGCCCTGGGTTCAATCCCTGGAACCACAAATTGAGAGAGAGAGGGAGAGGGAGGGAGGGAGAGAGAGGAGGGGAGAAAGAAAGAATGAATGAATTAGCATGAGACATACAAATGTCACCTATGAGGTTCAGACTTATAGCAGACTTCACCTCAAAACCAAATCGAGCAAGTCAAATAACAGTCTCCACAGCCTCAGCCTCGTCCCTACCCCCTGACAGAGCACCTTACACCCCCTCAGAGCCACTGATTCTTTCTTAACACACCAGTTCTTAATTTTTGGTTGTTGGTTCCACTCTTAGAGCAGCTGATAGCCTTGAAGTTAAGGGTGGTTAGAAGCAAAATCACTGAGTGGGGGAGATGGGTGGCCGCCTCAGGTCAGAGGAGGAGCTAGGAACTCAGAGTTTCTACTGAGTACATTTCTATTGGGTTAAATTAAATGAGTCAAATTATGCTTTGCGCCTCTGTTGAAGAATTCAACAGAGGGCAAATCTCCATGAAAAAATGCCAGAAATAAAGAGAACATTGCTGCTCGAAATAAAAACTAATTATTTGAAAAATGTATTTAGATGGAATGCCACATTCCTAGACAACACTTAATAAAAAGTTATATAACTTTAACAAAGTTAGTATATACAAGTTAGCAGTTCAATATTTTGATGAAAATTAAGCCTTTACATGGAACAGTTATCTTTMTGTGTATGTGTTCATTTAAAGAGGGGTTTCTGTCTGATAGGAGTACGGCCAGTCTTTCTTCCCTCTTGCACACTAACAAATGAATTYACTTTAAAGAGTTGCTTATATAAACTCTGAATACTTTTTCTGACTTGTTATAAACATTCTTAATCTAATTTAAATATTATTCATATTTTTGAATCAATGATAGAACCCATAGCTTCTAGATTTCCCTCCCTACTCTTTCTTCAAAACTCAAGTAAGCAACTTGAGGATGGGAATGATGCTAATCCTGCTCACTACTGCATATTCCACAGAACCTGAAATATAGTAGACATTTTAAAATATTTTTAAATAAGTTAATTTCCACTGCCTGCTGAAGTGGGTTGTTTGGGGTTTTTGTTTGTTTTTGTTTTTTTGTAGATTTGCTTTAAATAGTTCTAGTCTTAGTCATGCTTAACATTTTATAATAATAACAGATCATCTAACAAAAATAAATACATTACTATTGAGTGCCACRTTTTCTTCTGCTTCTGTAGCTGCCCTAGCCTCCAGATCTAAAGCCCGGTAGGCACCAAGACCATCCCGAGCAACACAGAGTACACTCTCAGCAGTGTTGAATAAGGCCAACCCTCATTTTGCTAACCATTTGTGGTGTGTCAGCTGATGGTCAAGGCTCCACGGCAGGTGGCTGGTTTCCATCCAGATAAGCCTTTGCTCAGACATTTGCTCAAGAAAAGATGGTGAAAGGAAGATGCAAAGGAGTAGACAGCTGATATTTTCCTCTAATTCCTCTCCTTGCTCAGATATTTGGTTCTGTCTCAGAAGTCCCTAAGTCTGTAGGGTCAGTATCGAGACACCTGCTGAGGAACCCAGCAGAGCCAGCCCACTGAATCTCAGAGCCGTGGTGAACACAACTACCTAACCAACATGTTCCTCCAGCAGACCTGGCCACAGCCTCTGAACACCTGATGTCATACCTCACACCTGCTAGATCCTCAAAGTATGAGTGTGGGATAAATGCCTCTTTCCAATGTGACTGGGTTTTAACGGCAGTTACCGTTTTTAGCCCACAGATGTACATAGCTTTTAAAAAGAACACATCAAGAGAGTGAAAAGGCAGTCCATAGAATAGGAGAAAATATTTGGAAATCATATATCTTAAAGAACTAATGTTCTGATTAAATAAAGAATTTCTACAACTCAACAATAAAAAAATCAAAAAATAGATTGAATACTTGATAGGCTTTTCTCTRAAGATATACAGATGGTCAATAAGCACATGAAAAGACGCTCAACATGGCTAGTCATTAGGGAAAGCCAAATCAAACTACAGTGAGCCAGGTGCAGTGGCACACACTTATAATCCCAGGGACTCAAGAGGCTGAGGCAGGAGAATCACAAGTTTGAGGACAACCTGCAGAGCTTAGAGATATCCTGTCTCAAAATAAAAAGTGGAAAAGGTTCAGTGGTATAGTTCAGTGGTACAGAGCCCTTGGGTTTGACCCCAATACCATTAAAAAAAAACCTACAGTGAAATATGACTTCAGAGCCATTTTAACCTTACCCCCCCCAAAAAAAAGCAGATTGATTAGATCAGTAAACTACAGTATAGTTCTATATAATAKAATGCAGTGTGTCATTAACGATTACATTTGAAAGAATATTGACTGGAAGATGTTCAAACTTTTGTAAGAAAAAAGGGAACTGAATCTAAATGGAAAATATACACAAAATTTTATTGGTTATCTCAGTGGTGCAAGATGGGTGAATGTTTTGTTTTTGTTCATCCATGTTTTATAAATCAATAATTAACA